GTATGAATGTCGAATTGAAATTTGTGATAGGTTGGACTTTGAGATGTTTTCATAACTGTTCTCTCGGGAGTTGAACGATCCGCCGCGGTAAGGAGAGACGAGGCTTGGTAGGAGTTGCAGGGACACCACGTGGTAGAGCAACGGACCGCAGCGCAACCAAAGATTCGAAATAGACTTTGATAAAGTATCGAGCTGCACTCCAGGTTGCCGATTTGGGAGTCGGTCCAAGCGGGCGTGCTGAAGTTGTCAAGCGAGATGATGGGCATCCGGGGGAACCGAGGCGCTTGGGGACGCGCTATACGAAGCTCGCGGTGCCCATCTGGGTCTTTTCTCCAGGACGGACATATAGAGCTGGTCAGATCAAGAGACGGTGTTCTCGTGGTAAGAGTTACAGCCCAACAGGGTCTCTTAGTCGATTGCATTGCAATTGTAAGCTCAAAGCAAAAGCAACAAACACCCATGCGTCTCCTTTCTGACCGTGCGCCGGTGCTACTCATGACCAGACCAAAAGACGGAGCGGCGTACACGAGCGCCGTGAATGAGTAGGAAAACCACGTGGGAGAAGCGTTTGGCAGACGCACGTTCTCCCAGGAGATTTGCGTTACTCTGTCAAACACGATGGTCGAATTGATGCCGTTGGCTGTTTTTTGACAAAATGTATTTTGGATGGTGTTCCTGCGTAAAGCCGTCATCTCAATCGCGTGGCGTCATGGTTCCCCATGTGTGTTGTCGCCGATCTGCGCAACGAGGTTCCATCCTCTCGGTGTGACGAATTTTATGCTTTGGCAGTGGGAACTGGTCAAGGCGGATTGACTAGATTGGGGCCGGAGCTCGGATTGTTACGAGATGTGGTAGCGAAGCTGCTTTGCGGCGCAACTTAACAGCAAAGTGATGGCGTCCCTCAGTCCCAAGCTGATCGTTGGTCGCTGGTCGTCTCGGATCTTCCGGCTGGCGCTTTCAAGGCTGAGGATGTGTACGAGACCCTGGGGTTGCGCGCGGCCGTAGGGTCGAGGGAGAAAGACCGAGGGACGAGTCAGGGAGCGGGGATAGAGGCAGCGGGAGATGTCTGCTCTGGCATACGAGGCTGACGTTGCCACGACATTGATTCCTGGCTGGATGGGACCGAGTTGGGAGCGGACGAGCGATTGTTGTTGTTTGCGTTGACGTCAAAAGATTTTCTCGCACAGCCGGCCACGACTTGCACTCATCAACCTCTCCATCACCATCTTCAGCTCTTGGGACGCACGACCAGGTCCACCGACGCGGATCCCCGAGTCGTCAAAGGGAAAGCCTGGGGTCCATCACGTCCCTCCGCTCAACCACTGGGCGCCGCTCACCTTTTGTCAAATCACGCACGCAGGGCCTCCCGTATCGGGAGAGACTGGACGATATCACGTCCGCCACCATTCCATCTGGCCTCTCCTCTATGGGAATATACTTTTGCAATTTTTTACTTCTACCATTTCACGCCATGTCCAACTGCTTCCAACAACACCAAAGCCCGACGTTCGAGTACAGGTCGAGCGCTTGCGCGTCCACGTGCCTCTTTAACCCCAAATGGTGGCCATGATGGACAGATCCCCCATTGCTAGGGCTCTTCGCATCAATCTGGTCAAAGTCACGTCTCCACATGTTCAACGACCGAGCGTCCGTTCTATTGGGCTTCGTTTGCTGAGAACCCCTGCTACCCATCCTTGAGATGCTGCCATTGGCGTTGGCCTTTTAGGCGGGCGCTGCTCTCTCTTGCTCCATTCGTGGCGTGTCTCCGTTGCCTCTCTTCCCCTTCCCAATAACTCTTTTCCGCTCCAATTCTCGTCTCCACATCTCTTCCACAGAGTGAAAGCTAGGCCTGAACTAGGCCCATCTTAAAGCCCCGGTACTCCGCTGCCGCACTGCTGTTCTGCACCGTACCGACAAAATGGGCTGGAATGCGGAGCAACAGGTGCTGGTCGAAGGCATCATCGAATGGATGATTGCCTTCGTATTCTTTGTGGGCAGACTGTACGGATTTTGCCCCTTTTGACGGACGCTTCTAACCAGTTCCAGATGGTCCCGGGTCATCACTACTGGCAGTTTCAAGCGGTTTGCATGTACGTTTGCAGTCTTGTTTTTTTCTTTCCTTTTTTTTCGTTGCATACTGGCTAATTCAACAAAGTGGATGACTATGTCATGATTGTCACCTTTGCTTGGTACTCTGCCCTGTTGGTACTGTTGAAGATTACGGCTCAACACGGAAGCAACCTCGTGCCGGACAGCGAAGTCGCTCGCCTGCTGGCAGACCCTCTAGAAGTCAAAGACCGCATCTTCGGCTCCAAACTCACCATTGTCATCGAGCAATGCATGGTACACACGCAATGGGGGAGCAAAGGTACCCGGATTGCCTCGCTTCTTTTGTGCCACCACTGACGATTCGTAGCCAGCCTACTCATCCTTTACCACCGCATGACTCGAGGCCTCCGTGAAAACATCTTCACCAAAATCACCGCCGGCTACATTCTCTTCTCTTACCTCTTCATCCAAATCACCTTCTTCGCCGCCTGGTGCCGGCCCTTTAGCCAATACTGGGCTTTTCCGGCCAAGAACCCGCAATGCGCCAACTACAACAACTATCTCATCACGATCCTCGTCTTCAATGTCACTTCGGACCTGCTGCTCGTCGCCATACCGATTCCGCTCATCTGGCGAGCTCGCATGGAGCGCGGCAAAAAGGCCATGTTCTACGCGGTTTTCAGTCTGGGAATCTTCAACATCATCGCCGCCGTGCTCAACAAGGCTTTCAACTGGATATTTCCAGGGGTACCGGTGTACATTATATGGTATGTCCGGGAGAGCAGCACGTGCATCTACGTCGCCAACGCGATATGCTGCTGGCCGTAAGTGTTTTCGTTCACGCACCACTTCAACATTTCGCTGACGACAGCAGGCTCTTCCGCCGCTGTTTGACTTTCCTCGGCTGCTCGCACTACTGGACCTCATCTCACGCCAACTCGACGCCGCACGCTCGCAAGCCGGACCCAAACCTCGACTTCGACGACTCCAACGTGCCGCGCTCCACGCGCATGCCTCCGCACGTCCGCTCCACAATGGGCGGCGGCGGCTCTCGCAACTCGACCCGCCTCTCGCGCACCATGCGCTCCTTCAAGGACAAGACGCTGCACAACCTTACGTCCATCTCCGTCGCGAGCCCCTCGGAAGAGCGCATCTGCGGGATCGACGAAGGAAGCGAGAACGGCGACCGCCCCGTGCCGCTGGAGATATGGCGGCATGTTGAGTATGAGATTGACCCGGGGGCGTCGGGGATGGCGACGACGACAACCACTACTACTACGACAACGATGGCGAGCAATGTGGCTGTGGGACCGACGACGGCGCCGCAGCAGTATCAGCAGCAGCGACAGGGCGGCGTCGGCATTGCGGTGAGCAGCGGCGACGAGGAGGCCGTGGTCGGGCTCGAGTTTAAAGAGCCGCCGTACTACAAGGAGCCGCCGCTGTATCTGGGCGACATGGGCGGGTGGTCGGAGACGTGGGTCGAGACGGCGGCGCCAAAAACACAGAGGAAGAAGAAGGGCGGTGGCGGCGAGCGGGACCAGCGGCAGGGAAACGACTCCAAGGTCGGCGGCTCCGTGTCGACGTGGTTGAGTCGCAGTCGCAGTCGCAGTCGGTCGGGAAGTGGGTGAGGAGAGGAGGATAATGTGTTTATGTGTGGGAGAGGAAATGGGACAGGGAGGCTAAAAGCGCTGCTTTCTGTTTTTGATGATGGGCATGAAATGAGATACGATACCCCCGGATTGCATTGCACTGTATACATAGAGAAATTTAGAGATAGAGGGAGCGCAATATATACGAAGCATCTGTTTTGACTTGGTATTGGATTCGTAAAAGCATCGCGACGGGAGTCTTTACTACCTGAGAACTTATCAATGGGACCGTGGTGCCACTGAATTGCAAAACATTTCTCCCTCCTCATCTTTTATCAGCGAGTGAGTCTGTAGCTAACCACTTATCCTCTGCAACTCATTCCAGCCTCTCAAGCAATCAGCCGAACAAACCACCTCGCAGCCGCCTGCCCCTACCTAACCACATCCAAAGAGATGACAACTCTTCCTCCTACAGCCCTCCACCTGAATCTTCCATCTCTCCAGTACATCACCAGTGAAATGACATCTCGTCTCGTCTCGTCTCGTCTCGCTTCACGTCAACCTCCCTCTTCCACATTACCATAATCTTCCTTTCTTTTTCCTCCACGCCCGCCGACGGCGACTCAAGGACATCGATCGCCCCTCTCGTACTCATCTGCAAAAGAGAGAAAGATGCAGGCATCTGCTTCTATGCAAGGAACCAGTCCTCGCTACCACCTAGCCAGTTTGCCGGCCAGCCAGTCAGTCAGTTCCACAATACAAGACCGAATACGTACGCCAGCAGCATGAATGATGCGGAGCAAGACGATCTCTCGCAAGCGACACAATCTCCGTTCCAGTGTGTGCTGCTCGCGTGGAAAAACGCCACAGCCACTCACCCACCACCGTCACTCATCATTTTATCTTGTCCTCGCGCTGTGCCCTGAACAGGCCCATCACTTCAGCCTAGCCAAGCGGACCAGGGTGCCGGTCTAGTCTGGTCTGGTATGCGGCAAAGCAAAGCGAAGGGAAAACAGGAAAGGGGAAGGAGGAGTGAAAGCATGAGGACGCGCGCATGCTACATGTATGCGTGCATGCGTGGAAAATTCCATGTCACGAATCCTTCCACGCAGGGGCGCCGCGCAAGCAAGCGGATTCCAGCTTTTTGGACTCCGATTGGAGCGGTTTCGCCGGTTTATTTTTGGGGCCGTTCGCCTGCTGGCTGGCTGGCTGGCTGGCTGGCGAGATCGGCGAAATGTGTGGTTGAAGCGTTCGACAACGTGAAAGAACTTCTTCATGGCCAAAAGAGTGGCCTGGTCAAAGGTAAGGGGAGCAAAATATTTGCACGGAGTGAATTGTCGGTTCTCCAAGTGCAAAAGAAATTGCTCCCACTCAGATTTGAACTGAGGACCTCGGCATCACTGATGAGGATCAGTTACTAGTGCCGCGCTCTACCAACTGAGCCATAGGAGCTTTCAACAACCAAATCAGAATGACAACAATATATCTTTAATCAAAATGAAGTAGCCAATGGCCGAAAGTCTTGGGCGACGAGTGGAGCGCACCTATTTCAAAAGTTTCCAGTGGCAGAATGCTCTGATTGGTAGATTTGAAGGCGGAAAAAATTTGATTGGTAGAAAGTTCCCGCAATTAAAGTTCACCCGACTATGTGTGAGATCTTACCTTAGTAGGTTAGCCAAGTGCCTTAGGCCCTTGATTCTACCACACCACTTTAAACACTACAGTAAATGACGCTGCAAATGCTGCTGCGAATTCTACTACAGATACTGCTGCGAATACTGCTGCGAATACTCTTGCGAATACTCCTGCAAATACTCCTGCGAATACTCCTGCGAATACTACTGCGAATACTGCTGCGAATACTGCTGCGAGTACTGCTGCGAGTACTGCTGCGAATACTGCTGCGAGTACTGCTGCGAATACCGCTGCAAATGCTACTGCGAATACTGCTGCGAGTACTGCTACGAGTACTGCTGCGAGTACTGCTGCGAGTACTGCTGCGAGTACTGCTGCGAGTACTGCTGCGAATACCGCTGCAAATGCTACTGCGAATACTGCTGCGAGTACTGCTACGAGTACTGCTGCGAGTACTGCTGCGAGTACTGCTGCGAGTACTGCTGCGAGTACTGCTGCAAATACTACTACGAATACTGCTGCGAGTACTGCTGCGAGTACTGCTGCGAGTACTGCTGCGAGTACTGCTGCGAGTACTGCTGCAAATACTACTACGAATACTGCTGCGAGTACTGCTGCGAATACTGCTGCGAATACTGCTGCGAATACTGCTGCGAATACGTCCTGGACGCTCCCACTCTCCTCGCTGCGCTGGATGCCCTAAAGGGAGGGTAGGCACGAGTAGTGGCCCGAGCTTTCAGACTATTTTTCCAGACCTAGTATTCCTTCAAATGCGCTCCGATCCACAAGTGACTGGCCTGGAGATCTCGTCGAACGGCCAGACAGCTCAACTCCAAGGAAGAGATTCCAGCGCTTGCGATGTCCGAAAATAGACCTTTGCGACGGCAGAGGTCGTTGGACGGTGTCTTGGATTCATTTAGGGGCTGGTAATCGTTGTGAATGGCAGTCCAATCAACTGTGAACTTGAATTGAAGCGAGGGGGATGCGAAGCTAATCTGACAGACGGAGTGTACTCTGAGTGGCTCGCGTTTTATTTGAGCTTGATGGCCCAATGATCGTCCACGAAAATGGGCGAAGAACCAGGCACAATCTGGTAGAAGGCGGTCTCAGTTTTGACGCTTTCAACGCATCATGCCCGAGATCCTGAGTGGAAGTGTTTGAGATAATAAAAGGGTCGTTCTCAGAGGAGACGATTGAAGATGGGGAGTTTTCGTACATCTTGTGGGAATCGACGTGCGAGCATCCGACCGTCTCTTCGCAGAATCCAAGCTCGACGGTGACATTGCTCTGCCCCAAGTTGCGGTGGGTGTGCGGAGGCTCCTGCTCACCCCGGAAATTCCAATTCCGGACACTGTATACAACACGTCTCTTATCGCAGTTAGTGAGGACCAAAAAGTGATCAATGGCAACGTTGAGTATTGTCAACTTGCGGACACGTCAGGGCGAATATTCGAAAGGAAACGGCAGTGTGAACGCCAGCCAGTCGATGGTTTGATTTTGCTCGCTGAATTGCTCGTCTCGCGACAGCGGATCTTGCCTCGCAGGTTCAAGTCGATGTATACACCCAGCGCCCAAGTCTCGCTCCATACTCCGTCAAAAGCCATCTCTTTATTTCTCCCAGGCAGGATGAACGGTGTTCGGGGTAGCCGCAAAGGTCGGCTGGATAAAGCTACACAAGTTTTAGTGTCTCTCTTTCAATTACTGCAGGAAACATACCGGTCAGAGTGGTAGACCTTGATTTCCTTGCCCAACAGCTCCTTCTCGCGCGCCTTCTCGGCATAGTGCCGCCTCACCATGTCGCGGTCGGCCTCGGCCTGCAGCACCGGCATCAAGTGGATGCGGGCCCACATCTTCTCGCGCGCAAGCTCACTGCAACAAGAGCATTAGCCAGCCATCAAAGACGAAAAACAGATCACGATTTCCGCGCCAGTCAAGTGTCAATGCATGCTCCCAAACCTCTCCACACGTAAATTGTAGGCCCTTACTTTTTCTCCCTAATACCCTGGCCCATCCGGTACCATCCATAGCCCATGGCGATGCCGACGCCGAGCAGATACCAGCGAGTAGCGAATGGGCGGGCGGGTATGTTGCGCTTGTATTGGACCTGCTCGTAGCCGCCCTTGGGAGGCAAGTCCTGAGGCATTGGAGCCGATGAGGAGAGGGTGCGTGTACCCTGGGAATGAGGTGGATGAAAGAGCGGCTTCGTCGCCTGTGGGAGAGGTGTGGTGGTGGATGATGATGTGGAGAGAAGATGGACGTGGGGATGATGTCCGTGGGCTGATTGCGAGCGCTGTGAGAGGTCGCCGGGCAGGAGCGGTGGACGGGATGCCCGGGGTTCCTGGAGACCGGGGTGTGGAGGTCCGCGGTTCAGCCGGCGGGTCTCTTGATTTTTTGACAGCTCAACCCTCACACCTTCACCAACCTACAATACTGGCAACAATGGCAGACGACGAGAGACCCAGCAAGATGCAAAAGAGGGAGCACGACTCCCCCGAAGGCGAGGCCACATTCGCTCCCTCCGAGCAGCATGAACCTAGCAGCGAAGCGCATCAACCTGAGATGGACGTCGACGAGCAGCCAGCAGAAGAGACCAACGACGCCTCCAACGCGAACCCCTCCAAGCCAGGCCCACCGCCAGGCATGACCAAATCAGCCTGGAAGAAGCTGCGACGGCAACAAGAATGGGAAGCAGGGCGCGAGCAGCGCAAAGTAGTGCGGAAAGAAAAGGCCAAGGCACGCAAGCAGCGAAAGCGCGACGAATACGCAGCGCAGCGCGCCAATGGAGACGCAGAAGGCGCAGAAGGAGCAGTACCGCCGCGTCCACACCCTCACAAGAAGGAGCGGCAGGCGCTGGAAAAGGTGCGCAACCAGCGCGCGACGCAGGTCCCCGTAACGTTCGTCTTTGACTGCAGCTTCGACGACTTGATGATGGACAAGGAGCTCAAGTCGCTGGGGCAGCAGATCACGCGTGCGTATTCGGATAATCGCAGCGCCCCGTATCGCGCACACCTGGCCGTGTCGAGTTTTGGCGGGAAGCTGAAGGAGCGCTTCGACGGGACACTAGCTGGACATTACAAGGCATGGAAGGGTTTTCGCGTGTGTGAGGAAGACTATGTGGAGGTAGGAGAACAAGCAAAGCAATGGATGGCGGATCCCAAGACGGGCGGAGTGGTCGAGGGCGCGTTGAAAGAGACGGCACGGCCAAAGACCGCGGACGATAACAGCGGCGAGAAGAAGGAAGACGCAGACGACCGCGATGCCCTCATCTCCCAAGGCAAAACCATCTACCTCTCGTCCGAAGGCACCGAGACACTTCACACGCTCAAGCCGTACCACACCTACATCATAGGCGGGCTGGTTGACAAGAACCGCTACAAGGGCATATGCCACAAGCGGGCGACGGAGCGCGGCATCAAGACGGCCAAGCTGCCCATAGGCGAGTTTCTGCAGATGAATAGTCGCGCCGTGCTCGCCACCAATCACGTCAGCGAGATTATGCTGCGGTGGCTCGAGTGCGGCGATTGGGGCGAGGCGTTTATGAAGGTCATTCCCAAGCGCAAGGGCGGGCAGTTGCGGAGTACTGGCGAGGAGGAGGATGGGGAGGGAGATGGAGAGGCTGAGGCGGAGGCGGAGGCTGAGGCTGGCTCGGAGGCGAAAGAGAAGGCGGAGGATTTGCCCGTGGTGGAAGAGAAGGGCGATGCTGCTGCGGCTGTAGCTACAAAAGATGTCGAAACGGCATAGCATAGCTGAACCCCACGGCCGCATCCTCCTTTTCCATCCACCCAGCCAGCCAGTCAGACGACTCCTCGCAACTGTGCATGCACACTTTCAAAGCAGCTGGAGGCCGCAATTACAAAACAAAGCCATTCGATTCCATCAATCAAGATCACTCCACACGCACTGCTACCTCATCAACCACAAGACCAACAGCTCCAGCCTTGCCTCGCTTCGCCTCGCGTTTCCTTGCCCCTGATACTCTTCAACATACACAGATATCCACCATCAACATCAACATCAACGCTTCCATTATCTCAGACAGAACAAACGACCACAAGCTTCCCCTCCCCTCGTCTCTGCCTTCATCCTCCTCCAGAAACGTGTCAACACAACACATGCTACCTAGGCAGCTCATCCATGCTCTCCATCCATCCGCACCTCTAGTCACCCGCGCCGCCAAACGTGAATAACAGCAGTTGAGCTGCTTGCAGATCCACAGATACCCTAGTATATAAAACAGCGCACGCATTGCTACACATAAGTGGTAGTGCATCACCTTAACCTTACTTATCACCGCTTGCTTGCTATTACTTGCTTACTGAGGCAGCAAAACCGACAAGGTTAGAACTGAGCTGGGGCGTTTAGTTTGGTTCGGTTCGGTCTGGTTGGGGTGGTGGAGATGGGATGTTGATGAATCTCAAGACGGAGTTGAGTACATAGTGCTACTCCGCTGTTCTATTCTATTACCACACTAAACACCTCCATCATGTTAAAAAAAGACTACGTGCATTTATTCTCATCACCTTCTAATACAACAGCATCTGATTGCATTGTCTGCTACTGCTGCTTGTTAGCGGGTCTAGGGACATAAGGGTCCGGCGCGAACGGAACACAGTTGAACTTTTTGAACAAGACGGCGCCACGGCCTACATCACCACTGCCACCGCAGTTATCATGTCTGTGATGATGATGATGATGATGCGACCGCTTTGCCTGCCGAGTTAGACTCAATCGTTACGGTTCTCCTAGTGGAGGTGGAATGTCGAGGGTTTATATACCTTCTTGAATTGTGACGGTAAGGCGAGGAAGAGGGCTGGGCT